TATATATATATATATATTTACATTTATGTATATAATTTTTCTTTATCTTATGATAAGTAAATTGGCAATTTATATATGTTATAAAGAATTAAATATTTCGGTTGGTATATATATGTAGCCTTGGTTGTTTATGGTGTACAGCGCACTATTATTAATTTCATTACCTATTGATATAAAATATAATACGTACATAACAAAATCATATGGACATAGACATATAGAATACAGGAATTATAATCATTGTTTTATTACAATTAGTATAATATATTTAATTTGATATGCTTAGAATTCAAATCTTACATTGAATATCGTGAATTTAAATTCGATAATTTACCTATTATTATTTTTCCTGGATTAAAAATGCGAAATGAGACGTGATTATAAATGATAGAATTTGACAATTCAAAAGTAACAATAAAAAGCCACAATAAAAAGGCGTCAATCTCTTATTAAAAATATTGTGTACATTACGCGGATTTCGTGTAATATAAAATTATTACAAACTAATAATCATTTATTGTAACAATTGAAATAAGATATTCATCCCAGTAAGAAATGATAATGGAATCGATATCGAATCGATGTCGATTCGACGTCGAAATCATCAAATCGATGTCGAATCGATTCGACATCGATTTTATTGTCATTTCTCATTAGGGATGAGCTGCAATGTGTGTGTGCGCGTATAACGAATCTAAGAAATTAAGCAAAAACCGTGCAATAAAATCGAAGACTATTAAAAATGTAAAGAATATATTATTCTATTTATTTCGTAAAATGCGTTTCGAAATTTCGACAGTGAAACGGTTGACGCGTGATCTTGGAGTTTTGACACGGCGAGAGGAACGGCGCGTCATGTTTACGAGCAATCACTGCGCATTCATTCCCTTACCAAGAGTCGTACAGGTAGGTAACCGTATTGCGTGTCGTTTTTCTCTATATTTCTTTTTGAAATGTAATTGTGAAAATTGTTTGATATAATATGAAACGTTGTAATTTATGAATGCTCACAACTTACGATTATTAGCTCGTATGATTAATTTTTCATAAAACAATCAAGATATACACAATCGTGTATCATGGAACAAATATTTCGTATGATTCATACATTTGCAATTAAAATGCGATTGAAAACAGAATTTATTATTATTTCAATATTTTAGATATTTCATATGTTCTCATATTTATGATATAAAAATGAGATTCTTATTGTTATTTTTCAAACTGTGGCTTTTTATCATTTTGAATTGTATAATTCTGTCATTTCCGCATTCTTAATACGGGAAAAGTAATAGATAAATTATATTGAAATTACATATCTCTAAATGTATGTGCATGCTATTTAAGTATTTTAGTATTTAAACGTATTATTCTATTTAATCGAAATTGGTTCATAATTTAAAATAAATTTTGCATTTATCTTCATTTATAAAGGATGACATATTATTAATCTTTATTTAATTGTAAATCACAAAAGGAATAAAAATTGAGTCGCACGCGACTACCTACTCGTACGAATTTCTGTAAGAGAAGACTGCGAATAACTACGCATAAACGTGACACGCCGCCTCGTGCCCCCCCCCCTTTTTTTTCCCCCCCCCCCCCCCTCCTCCGTGCACATACATTTAGAGATAAGTAATTTAAATAGAATTTATTTGTTATTTCTCCCGTATTAAGAATGCGGAGTAACACGGAAATGATAGAATTATACGATTCAAAGTGATAAAAAGCCACAATTTGAAATATCTAACAATAAAAATCTCATTTTTATACCGTCATCTGAGAACACATGAAATATTCATGAGCTGTGTATGTGAGTAATAAATCTAAAAAATAAAGCAAAAAACGTGTACAATACAACCTATTAATTCCTTAGTTTTAGGCAACCTTACACGATTCGCGATCGTAAATATCCAATTTTTATTAATTAACGCGACACCCGGAGCGACTTGTAAAACACATCCATCTCCCTTCGAGATCATCGAGCGAATGCCGAAGTGATGACGTAGCCAACTACTGCGTCGTGCGGCACCCTCCCCCACCCTGTTCGCCGCGTAACCCCTTCAATCATTGTTTGCCGGGCGCCATTCGAATATCCAATTATTGCGCATAAAAAATATTCACGGTTTATTCAATTATTCGTATTTTACATGATTTTGATAAACAAGTATCCTCGTACATTTCGCGCTTTACTTATTTCCAGTACTTGTTAAATCCTATATTATTTGCGTTTTTGTAAATGTAATCAATAATTGTTGCGTGTGTGAAGTATTTTTGATATTCCAACATTATGTTCCAATTTTCATTATTCTTTTAAATGATTCACACTTAAATAAAGATTGATAACATTTTATATATTCTTTATATAAAGATATACGTAAATTTTCTTAATATTGCGAAACAATTTGTGCTAAATACAGCTTTGACTAAAAATATTAAAGTAATATTAAATATTGTTAATTATTATTTAATTTTTCAGCTAAAAAATTAATTTATGACATTACTATTGCTGCAAATTATAAAAAGTATCTCAATTTTTATTGCTCTTTTTTGATTTGCAATTGATTTGATTTGCAAAGATTAATAATATGTTATAAATCCTTTAAATGAAGATAAATACAAAAATTTATTTTTATTTTAAATTATAAAATAATTTCGACTAAATAGAATAATACGTATAAATAGCATGCACATTTAAAGATATGTAATTTAAATATAATTTATCTATTACTTTTCCCGTATTAAGAATGCGAAGTAACAAAATTATATGATTCAAAGTGATAAAAAGCCACAATTTGAAATATCTAACAATAAGAATCTCATTTTTATATCGTGTTAATAATTCGTATGTTATTTTATCGAGCCATGATCGGCATTACACGTAAATTTAAAGAATTTTTGAAACATAGAATAATTTGCAGCAATAATAGTCATAAATTAATTTTTTAGCTGAAAAATTAAATAATTAACAAGATATTTAATATTTTTAGTCAAAGCTGTATTTAGCGCAAATTGTTTCGCAATATTAAGAAAATTTGCATATATCTTTATATAAAGGATATATAGAATGTTATCAATCTTTATTTAAGTGTGAATAATATAGGATTTAAATACTAGAGATGCCATAAGTAAAGCGCGAAATGTACGAGGATACTTGTTTATCAAAATCATGTAAAATACAAATAATTGAATAAACCGTGAATATTTTTCATGCGCAATAATTAAGTATTCGAACTTGAACGGCGCCCGACAAACAACGATTGAAAGGGTCACGCGGCGAACAGGGTGGGGGAGGGTGCCGTGCGGCGCTATAGTTGGCTACGTCATCACTTCGGCATTCGCTCGATGATCTCGAAGGGAGATGGATGTGTTTTACAAGTCGCTCCGGGTGTCGCGTTAATTAATAAAAATTGGATATTTACGATCGCGAATCGTGTAAGGTTGCCTAAAACTAAGGAATTAATAGGTTGTATTATACACGTTTTTTGCTTTATTTTTTAGATTTATTACTCACATACACAGCTCATGAATATTTCATGTGTTCTCAGATGACGGTATAAAAATGAGATTTTTATTGTTAGATATTTCAAATTGTGGCTTTTTATCACTTTGAATCATATAATTCTGTCATTTCCGTGTTACTCCACATTCTTAATATGGGAAAAGTAACAGATAAATTCTATTTAAATTACTTATCTCTATCTCTGTATGTTATTTATACATATTCTATTTAGTCGAAATTGTAATTAAAAATAAATTTTTACATTTATTTTCATTTAAAGGATTTATGACATATTATTAATCTTTATTTAATTGTACATCATAAAAAAAAGCGTATCAAAATTGAGATACAATATTATGAGATGTCAAAAGCATTTCATGTGAGCAATTATGTAAGAAAAACCACGCTAATAAAAATCTTTTTTTACTTCTTGTCTTTTGTCAGCACATTGTAATATTGATACGAAATATTTCAAATTATAAAATGAACATCATGTTCCTCGGTATATAACAATATAATTATTATCACATCACGCCGCTAAAGCTAGATATATATAAGAAATTCATTAATCGGAGAACATTAAAAATGTAAAGAATATTATTTTACTTCGTAATATGCGTTAATATTTTGACGGTTAAACGATTGATGCGCGGCCTTGGGATGGGAAAGACACGGGGTGGCACGGGGTGACACGGAGCGGCGCGTCACCGGTCCGCCGGTCACCTTTACGCGTAGTTACTACGCAGTCATTGTCATTCTCTTACCGAGATTCGTACAAGCAAGTAATCGCGTGCGACTCTGTTTCACATTACTTTTTGAAATCTTATCGTGAAGAATGTCAAATATAATACGAAACATATTTTATGAGAATAATTAATCATACTGAATATTAGTCATTACTTAATATTAATCATACTTATTAATCATAGTATGTGAATATTCATAAAATACAATTTTTTGCATTATATCTAGCATTTTTTGCGATTATTATATGTTTCAAAAAGAAATGTAAAGAAGAGTGGCACGCGACACGGTTACTTTTTTATACGAACGGTATCGCACGAATCATAAAAAAGCAACGTTATTTAATATGAATACTCTCATGCAAATAACGCAATTCCTGCTTTCACAATTATAATATAGTTTAATAATTTAATATTTTCTACATCTTT